CTGTGGGCTACGGGAGAGCCCACAGGGTGTGATGGTGACATATGGGCAGGGACTGCCTGGGTTGCTGGAGTAGGACTGGGGCCAGCCATGAAATGGGTCAGCAGGGCACTCACCGCATTATTCGCAGGGACAGAGACAGAGTAGGTCATTGGCCCCCCTCCACCTCCAGGCTGCTGTGCGGGAGCAGGCCCTGTCTCAAATACCACATGAGGCATAGGGGGGCACACAGGGCTGGATGTTGGGGCAGGCACGGAGCCATACACAGATGGAGGCATTGGGGCACCCATAGAAGGAGGCACAGTCTCACATAGGACACGGAAGCCAGGATCGCAGCCCACGTTGAAACCAGGATTGATGCTTGGATTGAAGCCTTGGTTGCAGATGGAGTTGCATAAGGGATGGCCCGCAGGGAGGTACACAAAGTCATACACAGGCTGCCCCCCTGCACTGCAGTTTGGGTTGCACACAGGGATACAGATGTATTCACACATGGAGTTGAACCCAGGGTCTGCCACGGGAACAGGCCCAGAGTTGTTCATGGGGAGAGAGCCATTCTCACACACTGGGAGCGACCCATTCTGGCTGACAGGCAGGGTGCTGTTCTGGCCCGTGGGACTACACACTTCGGTCTTGGCGCATCCCTTGCAATAGGCAAACTTGTGGCATCCCAAGTTGGCCAGGAGCCGGTGGCTGCCAAGCCTGTAAGGTGTGAACTCCACGACGGTCCGTGCCTGTTGGTTGGATGCCAGCGTTCCCAAACTGGACAGAGAGAAGGAAAAGAATTAGGACCCTGGGTAGCTCAGAGACCTGAAGCACTACAAGATGAGCATACACGATTAGGTTTGATTTGCTATGACATGTTTTCAGAGAAAAATTCTTATTACAACTTATTTTTGCGTTCCTCAAAAAAAATACATTCTGTGTTGTAAAAATCATGGTAGCAACTTCTGTCCCAAAAGGTCTGGAAAACTCCCATAGCTGGTTCTGTAACTGGAACTGGAAACTCATTTACAACACTCTCTTGAAGTCTTCAAAAATGTAGCACTCTTCTGCCTCAAAGATGTATTTACTGCTTCCCATTTCCAGTACTCTAAATTGGAACAAGCAGCTTTGTGGGATCAAGTTCATTATTATTCAGCAAGACAAATTCATTAGGAACTGCTTCCCCTCAAAACTAGTCATACTTCTGCCAGTTCTCCTTGTCATGAAGAACAGCATATTAACGAACAGATACTTTTCCTAAGATGTTATAGCATCTTGGAAGTTTCCAGCTCCCTGTGATTAATGTGTTATGAGCTTAGAATGCATATTACTATTTCTTACTGTTGTTTTTTAATTTTTCAAGTATGCGGTGCCAATTCATTTATATTTAGAGGTATTATATTATAAACTCAATAGGATTATAAGGGATGGAGGACTCAGCTAGAATTTCTTGTAAAGAGTGCATTCCCTTCCAGACAGAAATTTGAAACACACACTTAAATCAAATATTGAGAAAAATGAAGCAGCAGCATATCTTGCCAGCTCTAAATGATCCATCAGTTTCAAGAGGAGTGAGGCTTTTAATGGAGTCTCAAAGTAATAAGGGGTAAAAAGTCCTGTTCAGGTCTTAAACACCTAAAATAACAGAACTATTGTCTTCCTCAAAGCCTGCTCTAACACACCTTATTCAACCCCCCAATATTATCGCCACTTAAATAATTGATGATCTTACTCAATGGTCATTGGCTCTTTGAATAAACCACAGCCTTCTAATGTCATTACACAGTTCTTCATATCTTCCTGGAGAGGATTGCAGAAGGAGATCTCTGCGGTACACGGTACTTTCAGCCTGGGCTGGCTCAGCAGCTAGTCAGAAAACAAACAAATTTTATATTTTGTAACCATTACAAAATTAACAATGAGGTAAATAAATGTAAGGGGGAAAAAAAAGGATTATTCATAGACGTTTCTTTCTGTTTTACTTCTGTGACCTCTACACATCACTTGAAGCAACTGTTATATATTTAAAATCACACTGATCTTGCTAAACTAAAAAAATACAAGAAAAGAACAAGAAAAAGAATTTCAAGCTTTTTGGTATTGTACCTCGATAGTGACTAACAAGAGTCCCTAAGTCTGTTCCTTAGATCACAAATCCCATAATTAAAATTCTTTACCTTTACAATAACAGGTGGCCTGTTGATCACTATATCCCTGCTCACCATCAGAACTTCTCCACACTCTGGGTCTGAGACAGCAACTACTTTAATAATGTTGTGATCACAGAGATAAGGTCCATATTGACTATATGATATACACAGTGGAATGTTTTTCACTGTAAAACAAATTTATTTTAATTATTTTTTTTTGGCTAATATTTAAACTTTCCTTCATCCTGAAGTTTAACTGGCACTTACAATGGCTTAATCAAATACTAAGTTAACACAGCATCTTTGAAAACAGATATGATTTTTCCTGGCTTAGGGTGATACATTGCTACCTTCAACAAACAGCTTTACACTTTTCAGTTAATATATCAGTGCATTTACAAGAAGGCTGTATTATTATTATTATTATTATTCAAAATTTGGAAACTTTAATTCCAATGTAATTCTTAAAGCAATAATTAAAATGTAGGCAAATTAAAGCTTGGTAAAACAGAATGTAAATGTCAGGTATAAAATTTTGTCTTACAATGATATATTTTAATTAAAGGGATCATTTTTCTTCCAGAAAAAGATATTAACCATCAAAACAAGTGTTTATGCTCTGATATATCTTTGCACTTCCCAGCATAATGTATATCTGGAAATAATTACATTAGTGCTCAAAACAAGTGTTTTACACTGGCTAATGTCTTCTGGCCAAAGGAATAATTTGCTTTTCTGACAAACAGCTGTAACTTTATCTTTGTATTGAATATAGAATCCAGAATTGAACTTTTAACGGAAACAAGTTTTTAAATGATCATCAGAATCGCTAAGCCTTGAGAACCTAAGCAAATACTATGAATTACTGTCACCACACCTGTAGTATTAACACTGTGTTGATTTTTGAGTCATCACCCTAAAGTGAATTCCGCTATCAATATTTAATACTGTATTCATTTCACTTCCCACGACTATTATGAAGTCTCCACTAATCATAGAATCCTAAAAAGCAAAGTATCTCCTGACAACTGTGGAGAGAAGGGCACTAGACAAATTCGCCTTCTTACCTTCCCTTGGACCCAATGTGACATTCACACTGTCTTTCCAAAATTGATCCATCGGGCAACCACTGTAGGTTATTATTTGCGCGCACAAATTAAACTTCAGGTTTTTGTTTTCACTACGCAAATTTTCAAGAAGCCAGTGCAGCTGGACATCTTCACCATACATTGGGCAGTTAGCCATCTTTAGCCTCATGTTAATACCAGAGTCACTCAAAAATGGGTTTTTCAGAGCTGACAACTCTCTATCAATATGACAGTTGGAAGCATTGCAGTACCCTGGGTGAATTCTTCTGTAAGCCCGGTAATAGGCTTCTTTGTTTTTCATAGAACCTGTTGAAGAAGATACACGATAAAAAATTTGCTGGAGGCACAAAAAGTCGTATCTACCTAACTAATAAAGATAACTGAATTTCTTCCTTGTCCTTCCAAGATATGGTAGCTTGAATGCACAGAAAAAAAATACATATCTCAGAAAAACATTCAAAAAAGTGTTTTACTTTTATTAGTTAAATTTAAAAATGATCATGTAAATCTCAAAATCCATAGTTAGTGCAAAACTCAAAATAGAACTCTTTATAAGGGGTAGGGTGAATATGAAATGCTACCATGTCTCTCAAAAGGCAAAATACAGCATCCAAACAAAGAAACTATCAATTGTTTTCTTTTTTGTTCCTCTTAAAAAAACCCCAGAGCTTGCAATTTTACAATCAACTGTGATCCCCTCTTCATTTCTTTAGGCAATTTTGCTGGTTGAACTCCTCCCTGCTACTGGAAGATGAAAATCTGTAATCAGCAGTCCAAAGTAAGAACAGCAGAATATCCTAATAGTACAAGAATTTAGGAAGTAAGCATGTTTTCTGTCAGACCTGGTACAAGAAGCAATAAGTAAGAAGTCAGTCCTGGGTTTAAAAGAATTTAGGGTTTTTTTTTTAAATTATCTAAAGTCTCCTAGTGTTTTAAACTACTGTACAAGTGAGATCAAAACATGTGCATACGAATAATGGTATTAAAAGGTCTGGAAGGCATGTCTTGTGTGGACTGGTTGAGGACTTTGGGTTTGTCTAGTTTGGATAAAATGAGGCTGAGAGGTGGGCTCATTGGTCTCTACAGCTTCCTGAGCAGGGACGTGGAGAGGGAGGTGCCAAGCTCTTCTCCCTGGGATTCAGTGACAGGACACGTGGGAATGGCTCAAAGCTCCATCAGGGGAGGTTCAGACTGGACGTTAGGAAGCATTTGTTTCCTGAGAGGGTGGTCAAGCACTGCAATATCCTTCCTAGAAAGGTGGCCGATGTCCCATGGCTGTCAATGCCTTAAAAAGAGGTATTTGGAAAATGCCCTTAATAACATGCTTTAACTTTTGGTCAGCCTTGAAGTAGTCAGGCAGCTGGACTAGATGATCGCTCTAGGTACCTTACAACTGAAATATCCTATCCTAAATGGATATAATTAATGTGTGTTTTATTTGAACCATCTAAACATGTTTAGAAGTTTAAGAATCAAGATCTTTGAACAGAAAGGCATCTTCTTCTTTCTCAAAAAAAAGACAACTTCAGATTCTTCTACTCATTTTTAACACAGAACAGATTACATTGATAACTTCATATGATTAGCATTTAAAATTTCCTCTAACACATTTAATGACTTTTTATCATACCTAGTTCATACTTGTAAGCCCCAGTGATATCTTCAAATTGCTCACTGCCAACACTCTTGGTGATTAGACGTTGTGCACATGGCCAAGGGTCACAGAAAAATTTTGTTTTTTTGGCATTGTTTTGGGAAAGCCAGCCAACATAGTTAGAATTTACTCGAGAAAACATATGATGACCATCATAGTCCAAGTCCAGTTCCCCTTCTCTGATGCTTCGAACCCATGTAGGACCACTGCAAGCTGAACCTAAACCAGGAAACAAAAATGTTATAATAGGTTATAACCCGAGTAGTAGAGAAAAACTCAACATTAGCTGAGGAAAACAATTACAGTTATAGTAAACAGTTACCTCTGCCCGTTTCCAAAGGTGTTGGATCCAGACACTGCCAATCACCACAGCATTGATTTAGGTCTCTGCGAGCCATCCAAGATTCATTCCAGCAGTGATATCGCCTGTAAGGATGCAGGAATATAGGATTAAATACTTTTCTTTGATGTCAAGTTCAATGCCTTATGAGGGAGGAAAACCACATCACAGGTAACCTTTCAAGCAGATGAAGACTCTACGTCTTAACACTGTTTATGACTGGGGACAGTAGTCATTTGTTTTGCTTTTATCACTCAGACTGGAAATTTGTTTCAGGACCCTGCAGACCTGATTGCAAAACATTCTTCTTATAACCTTTTTTTTTTTTTTTTCAGTTGATAATGTGCCAACACAGTTCTTTTGTTTAAACAAGCAGTTTATTTTCCTAACATTTTCCTCCTGGTTCCTTAGAAGAAAATCACATACTGTCTTAGTCTTCTTTTTAATGGCTTAACAAAGAATAAACCCTTAAGTATTTTGTGCTAAAATAGAATCCTCATTCCCTTAGTATTTCAGTTTGAACTTATCTTTTTGACATGTGAAAGCACAGAAAAACCATTAAAAGCTCTCACAGATGAGACCCAGATACAACCAAAATTCTAGTGCACTGAAACTATGAACATACAGGCCAAGGGTGAAAACACGAAATTCTGCTATGGTGAGTGATAACATCACAGATGTATGGACATGAATTGGAAGGTTTACAAGAATGAAGCAATCCATGATAAGGAACCTCAGGAAGACAACATAACTATCAAGCAAGTGATTATGAGTGATGATAATAGTCCTAAGTTGTGATAAATTTTCCCTTGCATTTCATTATCTACTTAATATTTTTACAGCTACTAAGATTGATGGCCTTATTCTTCCAACTTAGAATGATAAGCAGGTAGCATCAATTCTCACAAGTAGGTTTTTGTTTTCTTTTTTTAAAAATGTAGATTGAGCAGACTGCCTCTTCAGGAATTTCATGCTTTTGAAATGCATTACTAGGAAAATGAATAGCCTTATCACACCAACGAAAGAGATACACTGATCTGCTAGATTTACACTGGTCTCTACCATTTAATTTTTGACAAAACCAAAAAAAGCTTGTTTATTTTGTATTTACCATAGTTTGTCTTTACCACACAGGTTTTTTCCAGTACAGTCAAAAATCTCATTGATACCAAGGGGATTCTCAACTGAGCACGGAAAACAGAAGTTCGTGACAACACGACTTGGAATTCCCAAACACCTCATCACTGTAAAGAAGAAAATATTTACAAGCCATTACATATGGTAACTAATCAAGCAAATCCTTCACTTATTTTATAAATAATTCTCCTCTATTCCACTTTGCAATTATATAAACACAAAGGATGGGAGGCAATACTTGGGATGTAGTGATTCTTCTATGCAATATCATAACAAGAGAGAAATGTTCAATTTATTTTCTAGTAAAATGTTTATGAGTAACATTCTTCCAGTAGTTTTTAGGATCAGAGGTTTTTGATCCTAGTTTTCTCTGTTCCTTTTTGGATAACTAGGTAAGGGCAGACTGAAATAGCATACCTGTACACATGACTGAAGCAAGAGATCCACAATATCCATATCTGACTGGCCTGCATCTGCCACTGTACCACTGCTGAAGAATAGGGACACTTCCATTCCAGGAAAACGGTTTTGTTCCTTTTAGGTAATCATTGTTTTCTGGAATCTTCATGATACTGTTAGTAGTATGGCTGCTTATCTAGAAAGAGAAAAGAAAAACAACTTTTTCAAATAGCTGACCATGTCTTCACATCCTAAGCATATCACAAAATCATCAGAGATTAGTGTTACAAGTTAGGTTTTCCTGTGAATCTGAGCACAGAAAGGATTTTGCCTGATACTGTGTTAGATTACAGTGTAATTTGCCCTCTTATAATGTAATGGTGACCTGATCTCCTCAGAGGTCACACGCTACTGGAGGTCTTACCATGTGATTTACCACCATGCTGACATGCACAGGATCATTGCGCCAACAATGGTCGCGATCAGAGCCGTGATGGTAACTCGCGCCCATGTCTAGGATCTTCAAGCAGATATCCAGAATCCCATCTTCAAACTGAGGAAAGAGAAGTTAACACAGGCATCATGGTATCATGGTATTCTGACATTGAGAAAGTTCCTTTCTTGTCAATAGTCCAGTCTTTTTTCCTGTATACTGGCTGCCTTCTCTCCTCCCCTTCTCTCTCTCTTTTTTTTTTTTTTTTCTTTTTTTTTACCAAGCACAGCTCCTAGTCATCTGAATAGTTTTGTCTATCCGTCTGAAGGAAAACCAAAGGGAAAAATATGCCATTTTTGCTTGTGTTTGACCAATGGAATAATTTTCCTTCATAAGCACAATATTCTGTTTTACCTTTTCCAATAACATTCTGCAGTTTCCTTTATTTTAGTACAGAAAATGTCCTTCTAGTTGTTTAGGCTACAGTGACATTCCTAAACATATTGTTTAGGACTGGTCCAAAAAAATCTTTCACACTTTGTAAAATAGCATGCATTTCTGAAAAAGTATGGATAACACTTTATTTATCCATATATGGACGACACCTGCTTCTGAAAAAGTCCTCCAAAAGTACCTGTCCAAAGTGCCATGGTCGACAGGTAATATGCTTGTAAACTCCTTCATACAGTATCCCATGTTCATTCAGAACATATTCTTCTCTATGGGCCTGATTGTCCATATATACAGGGTCATCTAGAAAAGATGCAGAGCTATGAGTCAGACAAGATGTACGTTTCTAGTACTACTGTATCTTCTACTTCACTAGATTCTTCTTTTCCTACCTCTTTTGGATTTATACTTTTAAACATGTTCATGGGAGTGAGCTCTTTAAACATTCACAGACAATTTTTACTTACAGCTAGATATTATATTTATTAAGTGTCTCCCTACTGTATTACACCTGAATTACAGAACTTGCAATTTATCTTCACACTAAACTGTTCCAGGAGACAAACACTGTGCCCTTGGAGTTGGGGATCTGATTTTGATCAAATCAAAAGCACAGACAATGTGAATATTGGCCATGTAATGATTTTGGCAAGGTCCTACAGACTCCAGAATTGCTTGCTACCAGAACTAGATCTACAGAATTTCATTTGTTTTTGTACTATATTACTTCATGTTGATACCACAGAATTCACAGAATCAGAGAATGGTTGAGGTGGGAAGGGACCTCTGGAGGTTGTCTGGTCCAACACCCCCTGCTCAAGCAGGGACACCTGCAGCTGGTTTCCGAAGATCATGTCCAGACAGCTTTTTAATATCTCCAAGGAGGGAGACTCCACAACCTCCCTGGGCAACCTGTGCCAGTGCTGAGATACTCTCACAGTGAAAAAGTATTTCCTGAT